GGATGTGGATGTAAATATAGTACGTTGAATAATTTTGATGCTGTGTGAAAATCATTCCATTATGCAAACCTCCATCACTACGAGACATTTCCTAATCCAGACTAAATTCTATAATTTCTCATCATTGATTGATTATAAGGGACAGTACACGAGTTAGTGAACCTAACTGACCTCTGACCTGTAGAGATGTCAAACAGTCAGAGAAACAAAGAGCATCGGCTCACATGGAGGAAAATACTGAATGTGTGTCACATCAGAGTGGATTTAGGAGTCAATGCATTTTGTTTGGACTGAAAAACTATTTGTTGTAGCACCAATATACCATCCACTGCCAAATTATAAGAATTAAACACAAAAAATCGAAATCTAGATAATTAATTTATTTCTTAAAATAAGTGCATTTATTCTTGAATTCAGGGGATAATAAAAGACATTTGCCAATATAACAAGACAATTTAGATCTAAAAAAGAAAACAATTGCATTGTCTTATTTCAAGTGCATTTTGTCTAATTATCTTATTTTGGGAGTAAAAATACTCATTCCATTGGCAAACTATCTCATTAACCTATTCAAATCAAGGGTAAAAACACTTAATTTAAGAAATCTTTACTTGATTCTAGACCACTTTTCCAGTGTATGTGATATATCATCCAAGGACTGATCTAATTGGTCAAATGCCAAATAAGATTTACAGCCATGTAGCAGCATCTTTGCTGAATGGCTGGATAGATCTAGTGCTTCTAGACCTCACTAAGGGACGGTGATGGTGGTGGTGGGGAATCCATTTGCAAGGGATCAAAAACACTAACTTGCCCTATAAAGTGTTAAAGATGCCTAAAACATCACTTTCAATTAAAAATATATTCTATTTCAACATATCTATTCATGTCTGTAGGAAAATACATCAAAGCTTCTCCGTTTTAATCCAGCTAATATGAAAACAGACCAAACTGATCTATCAGACATTTTCTGTAGCTTCCTACCGTTTGGATTTTGTTTTATTTGGGATTTCCTGTAGTTTTCCATCAGTCTGTTTTCTTCCTCGTAGCGGATGATGGTTTTTTCAACTTCTGTGAAGATTTCTTCAGCAGCAGCAGTTAGTCGCTCTCTGATAAACTCTCTCAGATGCTGAACTGGAGACATTTTTACTGAAATATTCAGTCGGAATATTAAAAAACAACCAACTGCTAGCTGCGGCTACAGCTGCTCCTTTGTTTTACTTCCTGGTTGTCACACTGACACAAAGCAGCTGAGTGGGCTAATTACCGCCCCCTGCTGGACTGAAGTGGAACAGCAGATTACAAACCAAAATAATCAATCCTTCTCAATTCTTCTGTCCTAATTACATCCCAATAATACATGTGGAGACATGAGTCAGTGTTTGGTTTAATTCTCTTTAGTCTGAGTCAGTTCTTCTACAGCTAATGTTTCTATTACTATCCCACAAACTCTGGCCCAATAATCCTCATATGTCTTCATTCATGTATTTATCTTTAGTAGAATTGATTACTGCAGCAGTGTCTTCACAGGTTTACATTGGTTGTCAGTATATCAACCTCACAGACCGCTCT